CAGGTTCCACATGAGGTCAGGTGTATTTTTAAGGTCCAATAGTCTCTGAAGGAACCGTGATTCTCTGAGGGGACATCCGTTCATCATGACTGACGTTATATAGCGACCGTGCACTCTTTTCCTAATGATATTTTCCTGTTTCTTAATATTTTGAGTTTTAGAATGGATCTTTCTCTAACCGGATGCGCGCGGCCATTTTGATGTCACATTTTCCATAATCTTCCCCGATTTTGAATTTTCTGTTTAGTGCTGACATCTTCATAGTTCGCATGTTGAAGTTTTTTTTTCTCTTGCAGACAACCATACTTTCTGCATTCCTACAGTTGATGGCCAATCCTGTCGTCGCGTTTTCTTTTCCTACCTTGTCTAAGAGGTTCTGGAATTTCTTCGTGTCTGCCATGAAAACAGATAGAAATTACTGAGGTGAGACGACTATAATTACGATTCTTTAGAAATCTGATTAAAGGAAAAATCGCATGGAAATATAGACTCATGCCTTTTCTTATTTTCATTAAGAGCATCTTTCACGTTAATAAAATCAGAAAGAAGATTGTATAGCTGATTAACAGCTTTTGATTTTATGTATTTTTTTAATACTAAATTCCTCTCAACAGGGAAAAATCTTTCTTGATTTAATTTTGGTAGAAATATCCAAGAAAAAAAAATTATGCATTAACGAAAAAAAGAAGTAAATGGCGAATATAATTGAGTAAACTTCATCTTATCTATTTAAAAGCAATTAAAAATTAAAAAGAAAATTTTATGTGTCATTCATCTGAGAAAAAAACTAATTAACTGGCTTCAATTGCCTAACTTTATCTCGGTTTAGCGAAAAAAACAACAAAAAAACGCCATTTTGAAAATACATCTATTCGCTATGACAGAAGGCAAAGATCAATAAAGAGCTACAAAAAAAGAAATAGCTTTTTTCATTATACGTCACGGACATTAAAGATTGATTATTTATTTCCATTGATACAGAAAATGTGGCACAAGGCCAAAAGAGGAGATATGGAAGGCCGGTCTTCAACTGCCTTATATTTAACTTAGCCTAAATACTTGGTCCCAAATTACTATAATTTTCCTTACACAAAACATGTTAATGGGTATCATTTTTCTACAGTCACTACAATGCAACCATATCTCTGTGTAATCCTAACTAGTCCCCCATGTGCAGAATTTGTCACTGTTATTAATAAAAGCACCCCCGAATAACCCCCGAGATAACTATACCAAATATCTGTCTATATTTCTGAGATGAGGTATTATGATTACCAGTGATCGAAATAAAGGGTTCAGTTCGAAATTCCAACCACCTGAAGAAGGCCGGAGCGTACAACGGCCGAAACGTTGTGACAAATATGGCGACAAAGATGAGGACAATAGTCCGACTAATGTAAATTCTGTACATAATACCTCATCTCAGAAATATAGACAGTATTATGATTACTTGCATTATTTACATTATTCAGACTGTTATCCTCATCTTAATTGCCATATTCACAACATTTCAGTGACGTTATCTAAAGTACATTTAAAGTGTTGAATTTAAATATGTTTATTGTCTGCTTACGGTCAAATCACGCTGAAACACCTGTTCTCGTTCGATCACCGAAGTTAAGCATCGTAGAGCCAGGTCAGTACTTAGATGGGGGACCGCTTGGGAACACCTGGTACTGTAAACCCCAAAGTCCAACCCTTACCTCACAGTCGGTGGGGGGGGTAAACGGTAGTGTCAGAGCTATGCCGCCCGGAACTTCGTTCCTGGTAGGGCCACCAAGGCGGACAGGTCTGACACACACGCCGGCTAACAAGGGCTCTGGTGAAAATCCAAGGAGCGTTTGCATCGGTAACCGGCGGCCTCTGGTCATTCCTGTCTCTGCGTCTGTGGGAACCCCGCGGCAAGCAAGAACGTTATCCGAGTAGGCCTGGGTACCCTACTTCTGTAATTTATCCCAAGAATCTTCTTCTCATAACAGGAAGAAGCCGGCTCAATCCGCCCAGGGTGAATGCCGCATCAGTACAGTACTGCTACGAAATTGGAGAGATCACTCCAGAAAATGATATTTTCGCTCTTAAAAATAGTGATTTAAAAATTGGGAAAATATTTATTAACCAATGAACGTCTGAGTTTAGTAAATCTAACTTTTAGTATCCTGGAGCCTATATTTTATTATAAATACGATCGCGTAAATTTATAAAGTTATTTTTTAGCTTTTTGCTAAACCTTTGATCTGGGGTTGCTTTTTTGTACACAACTGATTACTCGCACATTTCGTATAATTAATTACACAACACTTAACATATTTATCGAACAACTTTTTCTAATAAACTCACGATTTTAAAGTCAATTAAGCAACACGTAAAACATACCATAGGAGTTATGTCAACAAAAATATTAGTTGTAGCAATATCACAGTCCCTTGTTGTAACATTATACGCTTTCATGAAACAATGTAAATACGTGACAATCTCGTTAAATAGACACATTCTGTTTCTTTGATCATATTAATGCAAATGATTACATTGTGTCGTAAAAACAAAATATTTTGTGAGACTTTCTTTCGGGAGTGTTTTTGGAATTCGTTTCTCTCAATTTGAAAGAAAACAAATACTCAACAATAATATTTTTTTAAAATTTGTAGAGCTGTGTTTGAAGAGTAGAAGATAGATAAATTGGCATAAATAGACCAAATACAGATAGATATCCATAGAATCGAGATATATAGAAGTTAACAGACTGAGGTGGATAGATTGATTGAGAGATTGATTGACATGAACTGACCGAGAAAAGAATGAGCTAGATATAGATACACAGAATGAGATAGATAGATAGATAAATTTGAACAGAATGATATATATGCAGGGTGCGAGTGATATTTGAGGACATATTGCTTTAAGTTCACTACACACTCAAATCATTTATAATATTATTTTTTTAATTTCAGCTAACACATTCAGAGGAAGATGTTAACCGAAGAAATGAAAAGCCCTGCAGCCATTGTTGCTTTAGCTGCCAAACATAGTGATTTAAAAATCAGTAACTTTTTACCTGTTGCCAGGCCATTTGTTCAGAAGGTTCGGTTGGAGCTAGAGGGATGTGATGGCAATGTTTCCCCCTGTAGCAAAAAAAAAAAAAAAAAAAAAAAAAAAAAAAACAACATTGACATCGCTCTGATACCGTGAGAATACCAGAATTTATACGGAATATTCAAAACATCATTGGAAGATCAATAATGTCGATTGCCAAAGAACTCCGGGTATTAGAGTGGACTATCAGAACCGTGGTACATCAGGACATTCGTCATATGTAATGAAGAAAGGCCAATTCATATCGGCGAAGGCACAGGAAAACCGTCTTATGCGTTCAAAATGGTTGCTGAACAAAGTGAAAAATCCTCACGAACATGGCATTCTTTGGTTTTTCTCTGATGAAAAAACTTTAACCAAGATCAGAAAACAAACAGACGGAATGACAGGTGGCTATATGCATCTCCTTTTAAAGTACCCAGGGTGATGCACACCAAATATCCGGCTACTGTGATGATTTTAGGAGTTGTGAGGAGTGAAGGCCATGTCATGCCACCTTACATTTTCCCACAAGGTCTTAAGGTCATTGCTGTTGGATACATTAATGTTCTTAAAACGGCTGTTAAGCCCTGAATAAATAAAGTATGCAGTAGAAGGTCATATGTCTTTCAACAAGACTCTGCACCTTCTCACAAAGCCATTGTAAGCCAGGATTGGTTATCAGAGAATTTTTATGATCATGTGACCTCCAACATGTGGCTCCCTAACTCGCCAGATTTAAATCCTATGGACTATTACATGTGGAACGTCGTTGAAAGGGAGACTAATCGACATCCTCATAGTACCATAGCTGCACTGAAGGCTGCCATTGTCCAGATGATGTCCAAAATGAATAGGGACCACTTAATTGCAGCTTGTGGACAGTTTCGAGCCCGAATAGAAGCAGTCAGTGAAGCCAATAGGTGGTTTCATAGAATAATTAGATAAAGAAGTATCATGAAGGATATTTGTGTCAATTTGAATTAAATATATACATTGTTTGCTAAGATATTTCTCTTTATTTGAATACTAAAAATGTCGTCAAATAGTACCCGCACCCTGTATATATATATATATATATATATATATATATATATATATAAAGAGAGAGATCGATAGATATACAGATAAATATGCATACAGAAATATAAAGAGTTGAGGCAAGAATTGGGTGAATGTTGTTCTACCATTTTCAAAGTATAATACTTTTTAAAAGTGAAGAAGAAAGAAATGTTGAGTTAAGTGCATTGACAAGGAATGCGATTATACTCAAAAATAAACATTTTTGTAATGAATAAGTGCTTTTTGTCATCATTTAGTTTCATAATATCGATGTACTTATGTAGGTAGACAGAGAGCTTGGTAAGTAGGTAGGTAGATAGGTAGATAGGTGAGTGGGTGAAGGAAAGAGAAAATTACGCTTAATCCAAAGAGATGTGCATTTAAGTTAAAAGGCTGCGAATGAGAATCGGGTGTGCGGAGAAATCAATCGCTTGATTAATCGATCGCTACGAAAGTAACGGGTTGCTGGTGACGGCTAGGAAAACGCTGAAATGTAAGCGACTGGCTTTGGGGCCCACTGGGAAATCATAAGACCTTGCTTCACGATGTGAATTACTACTTGTCACCGTGTATTGAGGAACTTTCGTTTTTATGTCTGTCTCAGGTTACAGGAATCTATTATGATTCGCCGCTGTTCAAACATTGTTTGAACTGAAGTTATCGTCCCCTATGTTCGAACCGGGACAAAGAGTCAACAAGCATTTGTACAAAGGCCGATCGTTTGGGACAATGCTTTATTTTTGCGAGTAGACAAAAATTTAATTCATTTTTTATGTCATTGGATTGCATGAGAAATATTTAGGTAGATATGAGAAAACTGAAATAGATAGATATATAGATAGTCTGAGCTTGATACTTGATGAACCAACTGAGATAGATAGATAGATAGTCTGAGATGGTACTTGATGAACCAACTGAGATAGATAGATAGATAGATAGATAGATAGTCTGAGCTTGATACTTGATGAACCAACTGAGATAGATAGATAGATAGATAGATAGATAGATATAGATAGTCTGAGCTTGATACTTGATGAACCAACTGAGATAGATAGATAGATAGATAGATAGATAGTCTGAGCTTGATACTTGATGAACCAACTGAGATAGATAGATAGATAGATAGATAGATATATAGATAGTCTGAGCTTGATACTTGATGAACCAACTGAGATAGATAGATAGATAGTCTGAGATGGTACTTGATGAACCAACTGAGATAGATAGATAGATAGATAGATAGATAGATAGATAGATAGATAGATAGTCTGAGCTTGATACTTGATGAACCAACTGAGATAGATAGATAGATAGATAGATAGATAGATAGATAGATAGTCTGAGCTTGATACTTGATGAACCAACTGAGATAGATAGATCGATAGATAGATAGATAGATAGATAGATAGATAGATAGATAGATAGATAAACATGGACAGAGAAAGAAAGAAACAGATCGGGATAGACAGATAAATAAGAAAAAACTGAAATAGATAGATTGATATACAGAGAGATACAAGCAACCTGAGATATAAAGCAAATGAAAGATATAACGAAACTCGCGATACAACGAAACAGACTGAAATTGATAGATAGATAGATAGATAGATAGATAGATAGATAGATAGATAGATAGATAGATATGTACACCCTGGGATAGATATGAACAGACTAAGATAGATAGATAAGAAAAAAATGACATAGATAGAGAGATAGAAAGTTGGAGAGATAGATATCTAGATATAAACAGACTGAGATAGATAAGAATAGATTAAAATACATAGATAGATAGATAGATATGAACAGGTTGGTATAGATAAGAACAGGCTGATATATATATATATATATATATATATATATATATATATATATATATATATATAGAGAGAGAGAGAGAGAGAGAGAGCGAGAAAGAGAAAGAGAGATAAATAGAAAGAAAAGAAAGATATGAACGGGTAGGTTTAGATAAAACCACGCTGAAACAGATAGAGAGATAGAGAGATAGATAGATAAATAGATAGATAGATAGATAAAATGAAATTAGATAGAACACAAACGACTGAGAGAAATATCTTCCTCGTTGGATAGCACGGAAAAGATGAGAAAAATATAACTAAATAGCTATCTAAAACACAGGAACATATAGAGAAAGATAGGAAAATTATATATATAGATAGAAAATTTATATATATATATATATATATATATATAAAATATAAAATCCAGATAGATAGAAAAAATTACACACACAGACATATATATATATATATATATATATATATATATATATATATATATATATATATATAGATTTCATTAAAACGACTGACAAGGAACTGCGATTAAGTTTTATTTAATTGTTCTTGTCTTCTTTACTTCATTTCTGGGCATAAATTATGTAGAAATTGTCCGACTGTTAGTTATGTCCGAACGCTTTCGAAAAATTTCTACATGATTTACATCCAAGAAAGAAGAAGATTATAAGTACGCAAGAAAAATACAAAGTTTTAACCAGAGTAATTTGTCACTAGTTTTTAATGAAACCTGTATAAAGAAAGGGTTGCTTCCCATATATATATATATATATATATATATATATATATTCACGTTCTTAGCGTGAAAATTATCCCACGGTGAGTGAAATTGGCGTCGATAGTCCGTGCTAGCACGAAATCACAAGTCATCGTGACCGAGAGTCTGAGTATACTGGCATTGTTTACATATGAGTGTGGAACAAACGCAAATGATACAGCTATAATACACACACACACACACACACACACACACACACACACACACACACACACACACATATATATATAGAGAGAGAGGGATAGATAGATAGATAGATAGATAGATAGATAGATAGAAACCAACTAAGAGCTAACCAAGTAAGAAGATAGAAAGATAAAACCGATGACAATAAATTGATATTAATGAAATAAGACACACACACACACACACACACACACACACACATATATATATATATATATATATATATATATAGATAGATAGATAGATATGAACAGAATGAGATAGATCGATAGATACGAGCAATGCGATAAACAGACAGATATGTATAGACTGATAGATATGTATATATATATATATAGTAAGAGAAATAGATTGATTTATATATCTGAGAAAGAAATAAAGCAAAAAAAAGAGAATTTGTTAAGTCTAGATTATTAAGGTACCTCATGAAGACCGAACTTTGTTCTAGCACAGTAGTCTGTGAGATTATCTTTATCCACGTTTGCCCTACAGCATGCCCATTCATGCTGATCTTACCTTGCTATGGAGATCATCAGTTCGATCGCTATGTCAAGTAGTGCACGCTAATGAAGAAAACAAGGGTCAGCGCAGTGGAACAGGAGTTCATTCTTAAGAATGAAGAACGCGTGATATGCTAAAAAGCAAAGAACGGAATGAAACGAAGCGTTCTATTGAATATCCCTTCAAGTTTACAGGCTATAACAGAAGTCTTAAGAATCTATTGTAAAGTGATGCAGATTTGCTAAGAATGCATTTTATACCACCTCAATAGTTTTATTTTTAAAAATGATGCATATCCCATGACAAAAAAATAGATACAATCAACCATTTTAACTTAGCTTAAAAAGTTGCTTCTTTCTATCTACCACGTCTCTTCAGAAAGTAGTCGATCCTGATTCTCTACAATTCTTTTAAAAATCATTTCAGCTCAAAATAGTAATGCCAGTGGTACGCTGCTGGTTGCCGGAAGTGAAAGTGAAAGTGAAAGTGAAAGAGAAAATTGGGGATCGGGAGGATTAGGGAAAGAACAAAAATGAACGGGATTCGAAAAGACAGGAGATGGCGATGGAATCTGCATTTAAATTTTTGAAGATTGTAATTACGAAGGAAGGAAGTAAACGGAAGTGTGTTCCACAAGTGGGAAGTGCAAGAAAAGAAATTGTTGGAGTAGAAGGTGCGGTTGCATTTAGCTATTTCAACAGTAAATGGGTGGGACCTAGATAGTAATTTAGTAGCACGCTTAAATTCATGTAGTCGGGGCACCAGGGAAAACAAGCTCGTCAAAGGAGTCGCTGTGGGAATATTTGTAGAAAAGACAGAGGGAAGCCATGTCACCTTGTTGAGAAAGTGACTGAAGTCGAGATGCCGGGTTAGAATCGATTAAATTACAGTTCCTTCTTTGGATTTTGCCAAAAATCTCGAGATGTACAGCAGGGGCACCAGACCAGATATGGCAAGAGTATTCAATGCATAGACGAATGGTAGATTTGTAAATGCGCGAGATGGATTTAGACGAGAAAACCCTTTTGACACGACGCATTGATACAAGTTTCCTTGCAGTAGATGCAGCTATTGATTCGATGTACTCGCTCCATTACAGGTCTGTGGAAAACCTAAGCCTAAGACAGCGTAGTGTGTTGCTCGCCTCGGGTCTAACTTCAGCCATGCTGATAGCAGGTAGAAAAAATTCCTTGTGGAGATTAAATGAAATCAGTTTGATTTGGAGGCGTTGATATTTACAAGTCACTTCTTGTCTGTCTATATTTCTGAGATGAGGTATTATGTACACTATTTACATTATTCGGACTATTGTCCTCATCTTTGTCGCTATATTTATTACAACGTTTCGGCCGTTCAGTATCTGTCTATATTTCTGAGATGAGGTATTATGTAAACTATTTATATTATTCGCACTATTGTCCTCATCTTTGTCGCCATATTTATTACAACGTTTCGGCCCTTTAGTATCTGTCTATATTTCTGAGATGAGGTATTATATACACTATTTACATTATTCGGTCTATAGTCCTCATCTTTGTCGCCATATTTATCACAACGTTTCAGCCGTTCAGTATCTGTCTATATTTCCGAGATGAGTTATGTACACTATTTACATTGCTCGGACTATCATCCTCATCTTTGTTGCCATATTTATCACAACGTTTCGGCTGTTGTACGCTCCGACCTTTTTCAGGTGATTTGAATGTCGAACTAAATCCCTTTATTTCGATCGATGGGGTAGACTGTTCTTGTTCCACGTGCCATGTCTGAAGGAAAACACGACACAGTGGATAAAGGTGTGAGTTAGATCCAGTGACAGGACCCAAAAAGTGTGAGTTCAATACGGAGGTGGAGAACTTGGAGGGGGGATGAACAGGAGATAAATGTTAACTGACATCCATTAGACACTGATTTGAGGTCTTTTTCAAAAGCAGCTGTCAGGTTTACTTTGTCAGAATTGTTAGATTTTAAAATAAGATAGGAATAAATGGTAGGCTCATTGGTATAAATATCTATTTGGGAATTGATGACATTGTGGAGATCATTGATGAAGGTCAGAAATAGTGTAGGACATGGTATAGAGTTTTGGGTGACACCTACGTTTGTGAAAAATTGTTTTTCAGAATTATTTAAAATATAACGGGAACATAGGAATCAATTGAAGATTAATTTATTAAAATCTGTAAACAGTTTATGTTAAATATTTATTCAAAATTATAATAATTTTAATATTTTTGATAAAATGTGAAATCAACCCATCACCACATCATCTTTTCATTTGCTTTTTTTTTTTTGTTTGAGCATAATTTTTGAGAATAGCAATAAATTTTCTAAATACAAGTCCTACTATTTAACCCATAGTTGGGGTGAGTTGATGGATTCATACTTTCCCCAGCATATTTATACATAAGTGAATGTGACTGGAATTGTAGTTTGGCTCTCCAATTTTTCTTTCCAATATACTGAAGGCTGGGTTAACATTCTTTTAATTAGTATAACTAGGACTAATACTAGCACACTCAGGGTCTAACATCATGTAATCAAAATTTCTATTTCTGCCTGAAGACTCTTTAATATACAGAAGGCTTACCTAACATTCTTTGCATTAGTATAAAACTGTATTAGTCTGATCATGCTTGATGTCTAATATCACGTATTAAAACTTTCTATGATATTAAAAACAATATTACCAGTTTTTAATTCTTTCTACCAAAAAATTATTCTTCAGAATTAAAAAAAAATAGCAGGAACATAGAAATGAATTAAAGAATAATTTATGTCTGTAAATAATTTATTTTAAATATCTATTCAAAAAATCATTTATGATATTAATATATTTTAATAGAATGTGAAATCAACACATCACCATATCATCTGTTCATTTGCTTTTATTTTTGTTTGTTTGTTTGAGAATTCCTTATTATATAAACACTGACAAAGCTGACAACTTATGTATAGTGTTTTAAAGGTTGGTTTTAAGTAAACAAACCAACTTATTTTTAAATTTAGAAATGCAATTTTATTGATAATCTCTTACAACTTTTATTGCTGAAAAAAAATCATCTTAACACTATATTTAGAAATATATGCAATTTACATTAACAAAGTCTAATCTGTGATAACAAAAGGCATAAAGAGAGAGAGAGAGAGATGAAGGTGCATTCAAGCAAATTAGATGGTAAATTTGCTGATATTTTGGGCACAATAGGTTTGCAAAGAAACAATTGAGAAAATATGAACTGAAAGAAGATAAGAAAAAATATTGTAACAATCTGCTTGAACAAAAAAAAAATTGGATATAATAAATTCTATGCTAACATTTGTGGTTAATAAACCTAGCCAAACTAACCTCTTACAACTTTCATTGATAAAATGAATCAAAAGCTGAATAATCACATCAACTTAAAAAATACACCAGTAAAAATATTCTTAGAATTTGGCGTCCTGGGTAAGACGATAAACTACGTCCAACAGCAAGGTTTCTGATCAGGAGATTTTGAGGAGCGTGGAACCACCTCTTAATTGCTGGTGTTCCCAGGTCCACACTGGCCTAGGGTGGTAGCACTTGTTAGTGTCCCAACTATGGGCAAATAGTTAACCTCCCAAACTGGGGTCAAAACACTATGAAAGTATAAAAATAGGTTTTAATATCAGAAATAAATGTTTTGAGGAAAAATTATTAGCAGCAATACATTATTACCAGCAATACAAAAAAAAATATTACTAGTAATAAAAATCTTGTCGGCATTAAATAACCCATTGAGGTTGGTTATGGTCCAGGTTAGGACCAAGGAAGAACAACACGAACACAAGAGTAGAAATAACGAAGGTATATTACACGAAATAATAATACAAGATGTGGAAGGTGTTAGTATGACTGTCAGTCTGGTTTGGAATGAACTACTATCGTCTCGACTCGATTCGGTATCTAGACCCCTACCCCACGAGGGTTGCATATGGCACAAGGCCGAGTTTAACGTGGGTTTCCCGAGCCCGTAGGCTCGGCTGAAAAATGCCCGTAGAACCCGTATAAACGGGATCGGGTTGGTCAACTTCCCCGAACGAGACTCTGCCCTTCGGCGGAGTCTCGCCCGGGTTCATCTCTGCTCAGAGAGTTCGACCGTCAGGCTGAGAAGCTCGGTTTGATTCGGTATCTAGCCCCCCCCCTGTGGCACGAGAGTTTAACTGGGTTTCGGAGCCCGCAGGCAAGGCCCCGTATAAACGGTAGGTCAACCTTAACGGCGGGTTTTTCCGGCTCAGCCCGTAGGCTCGGCCGAAAAATGCGCGAGTTTAGAACCCGTATAAACGGTATCGGATTGGTCAACCTCCCCGAACGAGACTCTGCCCTTCGGCGGAGCCTCGTCCGTTTTCCTCTCGGCTCAGAGACAGAGAGTTCGACCGTCAAGCCGAGAAGCTCGGCTTGATTTGTCCCTCTCTCTTGAGAGGCGTAGTATACATAGTGTTAGGAAGAGTTCATTCCATAGTTATAGGTAAGGACCCATGACAAGGTTGATATGCCGTAAAACAAAACAAAACAAAACAAACTTCTTGGAATTTGGAATATTAGAAGAAAATTATTTGCTAGTTGTAATCTAAAAGAGCGT